TGATATGACTGGGTTGATATGCTCTGAAAGTTTCAGAGCATATCAACCCAGTCATATCAACCCAGTGACATCTCGTTTTCTAGACACTATTGGAATACAAGACACTGGTATACCTTTAAAGACTGATGGAGGATGCACTGGAACAAAACTACCATCTTTGACTCTTTTTAATTCTGCATCTTTAGGCCAGTGCTGAGCACAAATTCGCTTATAATCTGTAAACACAAAGTTTGCATTTGGAAGTTTTTTAATCCATAACTCGCGATCCCCGGATTTAAAGGGGAATCTATACATTGTGACATTAACATTATCTTTTACTTTTGATTTGTAATTTGAGGAGCAACCATAAACGCAGCATTTATTAGGCATTTTACGAGTTTAACTATTATAGTTTAAATCAAACAACCAAAATCCTCATTGAAACTATACTTCTCCGTAAAAAAATCGGCCTTCGCTAATTTTACGGAAAATGAGCTGTCGCGGCCTGTTTAAGAAGGCCTTGATTTGTTTCAATCAAGGAGGTTTAATAAACAGGAGACGCCGTAGTATATACTTTATATAAAACGCGCTGAAGCCAGTTTTTAAAAGCAGCCGCCATCTTGGTTAACCCAAAACATTGCGCGGAACTTTATATTTTCAGTATAAAACTTTGCTAAAATGAAATGAAAACTTTGATATAAATAATTGAGTAAGTTGCCAGTTATATTTCTTAGGTTATATTATGCTACGAGGAATTGTTTGCTAACTGATTATCGGGTTCAGTTCATTCCAAAATATTGGAATACTGAAATAGACATTCAGATAGTCAACGCACTATTAGCAGATTTCGTATTTTACAGTGTTAACATCTTTTGGAATAAAAACAAATGTTTGTGAGTTTTTTAAAATCAAATGTAAACATAAATATATTAAATATTTCTTCATAAATAAATATATTAAATATTTCTTCTTTAATCTTGTATATATATATATATATATATATATATATATATATATATATATATATATATATATATATATATATATATATATATATATATATATATATATATATATATATATATATATATATATATATATATATATATATATATATATATATATATATATATATATATATATATATATATATATATATATATATATATATATATATATATATATATATATATATATATATATATATATATATATATATATATATATATATATATATATAATTATATGGATATCCACATAGTTTAAGTGAAATGAATTTCTTTACAGGTGATCTTACTGACCAGTAAAAATAACAAGCTTTTTGTGTTGCTGTCGACTCAGTATATTTTTTTTACTATTTATCCAAGTGGTATAACGTTTTCCTGCATACCAGTATCTGACTTGCAAGTACTTTTCAGCAATAGCTTTTATTAACAAAACAAGATGATTTTCCATCGGACTGCACTTCATCATATGATTAGTTAGTGAAGAAAATATGTTTACATGCAAATATGTTTTCAATATTGACTGCATAATTGCATGGCAGCTTACATTTGACAAGGATAATGAATCATTGCTATTGTGTTCTACATTAATTCTAAACAACTTTTCACACAAAATGCAAATATCAAGTACATTCTTTGAAGGAAATATCAAAGCCCCTTTTGTTTTCAAGTTAATTAATGCATATTGCTCATACTTGGTACTTGTATTTAGTGCAGAAATACATGTTTCACAGTGCAGCGAATTTCCCAGTTTAAACACAACAAATCCTGCAATATAAGCAACAATACTCTGAGAACATGAAGATAAATGACTAGGATTAGGAACTCAGTAATAATCGTGATCTATAACAGAGTTTTCTAGTGGTTCAATAATCCTATTTCTGCTAGTAGAGCTATTCAAAACACTAACAGAAGGAACATCAATATTTTCGTTTCCTATGTATCCACTAGAAGCAGTCAAAATAGGTACAACTTGCAATGGCAAACAATTTCCACGAACAACATCTTAAACATCACTATGCACAAGCAATTTTCTATATGCTCCAATAAACTGTTTGGCTGAAGGGTTATTATTACAACCCAATAAACTTCTTATTTTTCCGAAAAACAACTCTATATGATCTTGGCTAAATTTAAAAGAACACATAAATTTCATACCAAACTGAGGTTTAACAATTATCCAATGATACAGAAGTAAAACATTGTCAATGGCAGCTAAAAATCCCAAAAAGCCAGTCTTACAATTTGACTTTAGTAAAGGTTTGCCATTTAATGATTCTTGTAGAGCAACAATATATTGCCTTGATTGCTGCAAGAAACAGGTTATTTCATGCAAGTTTTTTTCTTGTAGAGGTGCCTTCAAGCCTTTACTGCATAAATTCCTGGAAGTCAAAATATCAAATAGACCATTAAACACACGAATAAACTTTATTGTTGGCTGGCAATTTTCGAAGCCTGGTATTTCACTAATTAAACAAAACTCTAATGATGATGCGACACTCTCGCTAAGTAATTGTGCAGCCAATTTTATATTCATTTTCTTCTTAAACCATTGCAGGTGCGTTGACCGTAGTTTGTTCCCCAAATGTAAACCTTCATTTTCTTGAAGTTGGTGAAGTTTTTCAATATATTCCCACTTAACAAATTGCCCTTCACCATCAACCAAAGATTTTTTATCACCTAGTGTATTACGTACTAATTTAAGCATATGGCAAGGATCAAAAAAAAGTACAACCTGTTCTTTAGTTTCTGGATGTTGAAACCAAGCTTTAAACTTAGAGTCAGCTGAATCAGTATTGCATTCTAGGTATTTTGCCATTGAAAAGTTTGAAGCACAACCATCACAAGTAAGGGATGCAACAGTCACACAAATACTATGAAGTTTGGTAAGGCACTGCCGAACCAAATTAGCTCGTTGTTTCCCTGTAAGCCCGTCAATCAAAAAGTAAGCTATTGGAAGCTTAAATGAATCATTCATAGAAACAACCATAAATGTTAGTGCTTCTTTTGCTAAAGGCAAGCTATCATCATCAATTTCAGTCCCATAATCTATGTACCCTTGGTACTTTTTGCCATCCCACTCAACTTGTTGTCTAATTGCAACTTCATCCATTATTAAAGCGCAAAGAAGGTTCTTATTTTTTGCAGCCATCTCAGACACTTTATGTTGCAAAGCTGTAAAAGACTCTGCTGTAAAACCTGGCTTACAATTAATAGTGTGAAACCACTTCTCAATTGTTCTTGGATGCGGAAGACAAGTATTAAACATTTTGCGCACATAACGATATGCATGAGGCGAATAGAAATGCAAGGTTAAAGCAAAACTTCTTAATTCTGAAAATTGTTGCTGAGTAGATTTTCCTAAGCATTTTGAAAATTGTCTTCGTAACAAATCTCCTACCCCTTTAGCAGACTTTTGCAATATATAAAGGATGTCACCTTCCAGTACATTATTTCTCTCAGGATCAGCAATAACATTTTTTAAGCTAGCATTTCTCTTAGCAAGCCTTCTTTTTTTTTGTTGTAAAAGTTTTATTTTTTTTTTAGAAAAAGCTAAAGATCTTTTTGCCTTGCATAACTTTTGATTTAAGTTTGCTTTTCTTGGAGTTTCATCACTGGTAATAGCAGCTTGAAAATCAACTGTCATTGGTAGTGAAGTGCAAGAATTAGAAAAATCATCATTTATAACACTTGCAGTCATAAAATCCGAGGTTGCATAGGTTCTCAATTTTGGAGCCTTACGAACTGGTTTAGCTTTTTTTAAGTAGCATGGAAAAGCTTCAAAAATGCTTGGTATGGCACCATACCGAACTCTCACACACGAGAGACTAGTTCTATCCATATCAGCTTCTGTAAAGTGCTTTGAACATTTAACTGCTGATTTATGCGAGTCAGTAAAGTTTTTTCTACGTAAAGCAGTTATCCATTTTTGTCTTAATTCTGGATATTTGATTTTTGATGGAAATCTATAAAAGCATTATTTGAGTAATAGTATATATTATTCCTTTGTGGAATTTTTTTTGTATGATACAGCTTAACATACCTATGAAAAGTAATTCCATTAGCACGATCTCTTGCAGTACATCCATAGGCAGAACAAGATGGCATGTCAGTTTATATCTGTTTATTAACTATATAGTCTACACTCAGTGTAAATCATAAAAAGCTAAAAATAATACAGTTAATGTTTATAAAAATTTTTATTTACTTTATTTTATTTATTTATGCTTATATATATGTATATATATGTATGTGTGTATATATATATATATATATATATATATATATATATATATATATATATATATATATATATATATATATATATATATAGGTACGCGGAAATCGCGATTTACGGAACCGATTTTTATGCTAAAATTTTGGTTCTCATTTTTTTCACTCTTTTTTATGCAGCGTGAGGCAGACGTAGTTTTAAGTAGTTTCTTTTTAGAAACATATATAGACATAGATACTTTTTGGAAAGAAGAAAAGTTAATCTTGATTTTTAAAATACTTTTATGTATGGTTACTAAACTTTATTATGGAATATTTTGCTCCTGAATATTAGGTTGATGTTCTCTCATGAATTTGTGGTCAAAGAAATGTAGAGTCTGCTTTTTTTATTATTAAAATAGCTTGTTTCATGCATTTTCTATGCATATGCCAAATTTCAACAAAAAATAATGATAAGCAATTAGTCTAATTAGTGTTATACCAAGTATACCACTTTTTTCAGGTAGCCCTAGGCAAACGGTTTTTTGAGGTGGTTTTTTTTAGAAACATATATTAACCTTGACGACTTTTGAAAGAAGAAAGATTAGGCTTGATTTATATAAACTATTGTGTGTTGCTAACATACCTTTTTATGGAGTATTTTGCTGAGAATTTTGCATGGAAATTTGGCTGATGTTGTAACATGGATTTGTAGTTGAAGAAATATAGAGTCTGCTTTTTTTATTATTAAAATAGTTTTCTTCATGCCAAATTTCAACGAAAAATAATTATAAGCAGTTAGTCTAATTAGTGTTGGACTTTAGGTACCTAATTTCGATTTTTTTGTTGTTGTTTTTTTTGGTAAGCAAAATCCGGTAGGCGCCGAAATCCGGATAAGGGGGCGTTTCAACTAAAAATCTTATTTTGAATTATTGTGATATATATTATTAGATTTAAAAAAATATGGCAACATATAGCAAAAATGTGTTAGATGCCCTAACAGAATGTAAGTTCAATTTTTTTTATTCTTAATAATAGTATTATTAACTTTTTAACTCCAAAAAATAATGATTAATGTAAAACCTTCATTGTTTTTTATGTAACATATTAAAAAAGATTAATGTTTAAGATTAAAACTGTTGGTATTCATTGAATAATTCATAGTCACAGTTTTAATTTTTTTAAACGCTAAAAATTTTTTTTGTTAGGCTTACACTAATGCAGTGTGTAATTTACTCATTTATATGTGGTTTATAATAGCCTATTAAAACTGATTGTCACTTGTTAGATTCAGTTGACAATTTATTAAAACATTACATATAAACAATTATATACTTCATTACGTTAATCTTAACAAAAAGCTTCTTATTGTTTTTAAAATATAACAAAAGATATCATTATTATTGTCTTTTATCATATTTGGATTATATACTTCTTTATCTATGGATTAGTGTTTAAATCATTATACAAACATGTCTAATATTTATTTCTTGTTTAGATCCTGCCCGGCTTTTTGTTGATTTTTTGAGATTTCGTAAGTATAAATCACGTAAAGTTTAAATTTAATATTCACTAAGAGAAAAAGTATACAATAAGTAAATATTAATAAACATTTATAATATCTTCCTATCTATAGTAAGTCTTAAAAAAACTAGAGTTAATTTTTTTACTTATTGTATATCATCTTTTTATGTGTTTATTGTTTACATAAGTTTATAACCATTCCTAATGTTAACTTGTTGCTTATAAATATATTATCTTTATATTTTAATAGTTATATTTAGTTGTTTATTTTCATTTTGTTAGTATAGTTGTTGGATCTTAAGTAGAAAATCTTTTAACTTTAGTACAGCTTTTAACATTTGTAACTTACTGTTGACAATTTCAAATTATTTTATGCACAAAGTTTTTGTTATTTTTAGTCGAATCTACACAGCCCATCACTGGTAAGATTTTATCAGTTTGTATATGCTAATGATTATAGAATTAGCTAGTACTTTTTATTCTGTAAATAAATTTGAAAGATTACCGATTTCAAAGTCCTTATTTGCAATATTTGTTTCTTATTACAAATTTTGAATTTAAGTTATATCTTTGTCTTCAACAAATGGTAAATTTAACAATTATTACTTTTTAATATGTGTATATATTTTTGATGACTGCAGTATAAATTTTTTATTAAATAATTCTTAACCTTAGTTCCTTCTACATCTGCTATAAGGGGTATGTTATCTAATTTTTACTTTTCAAAATGTTTATACATATCTTGGCAATTTCAGTAATTATTTTTAATTACAACTTTGATAATATTTAGTTACATCTTCAGCACCTACTATAACTAGTAAGTTTATAAACTATTATTTGCAAATGTTTACACACCTTTCTTATCAATTGCAAATTTTTATAGAAACTATTTTTATTTTTAGTTCCATGTGTTCAACCTGGTAAATTTATGATTTAAAAATGTTTTTAAATGATTTTTTAATTTATGTTTATACTTATATACACTATTTAATGCATTAGTATTGTGTTATCCCTCAAAGTGCAGTAAAATAAAATTATTACTCTCATGAACATTTTTTACGCTATCTTTGATTAATACGTTGTTCATGTTATTTATTCAGCCTATTACTTTTACAATTAATTGTTTTATATTACATTTTAAAGCAGCACAAAATTGACTAATTGACTAATTTTACGCCGGTAAAAGTTTTATAACATTGAATGAAAAAACATTTTACCTCTTTAAATTTACGGCTGTAAAAATTCCGCCGGTAGCATTTTACGCCGATAAAAAGTTTTATAACATCGACCCCAAGAAATTAGGACTTTGAAGTCTTGATTTCCCGGGAAATCAAGACTTTGAAGGAAAATTTGACGGGAAAATATGATGTTATGAGTCATAATTTCCCGGGAAATTATGATTGGAGCGGTAAATTAAGAGTCCAAGAACTTTCGATTCAAAAAGAAAATTTACAAAGAAGTCGTTCTATTCTGCAGTAAAAAATTTTTTTAAAAAAAAAACTGTAAATAGAATTTAGAATAGAATCAAAGTTGATTCGAACGCAAAAGCATGTTTAAATAATGCGCTATAATTGTTTCATACGTAAATAAATAAATTTTACAAATAAACACTAGTGTGCTGCTTCATGGTAAAGGAAAGAAAACATTTTGATTTTGATAGCATAGAAGATTAGGAATAAAAAATACCCTTCTACTATATCTACACATGATTATGGGATTAAATCAAATTTTTAAAGAGCAACAAAACGGTTTGAAGTGAAAGACGGACATTTATTTTATAATAAAAGAATGGTTATTAAAGACAAAGAACTCCAAATGGAAGTTATTAGAGTCGTACACCGAGGTATTGGAGATTCTGAACACTCTAAGGCAACGGCCTCACATAGAGGAAAAAACACTACGTATGACAATATTGCGCAAAGATTTTTTTTGGTATAATATGGCTGCTGATGTTAGTAAGTATATTAGGAGCTGCGAACAATGTCAAAAACAAGGTGACCTATAGTCTCCAAAAGTAGAATTAAAGTCTATACCAGTACCATCAAGTGTAATGGAACAAGTTTGTAAACAAAGTATGTAAACAACTACACGAACTAACTGGAGTAGAGCAGAGAGTTACGTCTGCTTATCACCCTCAGGCAAATGGATTGGTAGAACGTCAAAACCGAACAATAAAGAAGTCTTAGGTAAAAGTTTTGGAAGATAATCCCAAAATATAGCCGCAAATTATTGAGGGTATCCTTTTTGCTCATCGCGTTAGTCGACATTCTTCTACTAACTACTCTACATTCATGCTGATGTATAATCGCGAACCAATTTTGCCAATTGATGTAAAGCATAGCCTTGTCAAAGACGAAAGCAATAAACAAGAACACCAAGAAGAAAATATAGACTTAGAACAACCATTCAATTTCAACTTTTTTGATGCCGTCTTTTCATTAACAAGTAAAGTCAGAGCAACAATCATTTCTGAAGCGAAAATATAAAAGTTGCGCAGAAAAAGCAAAAACGAGATTATGGTAGCAGACATTTGTCAAAGCCAGAAATTAAGGTAGATGACATTGTATTATTGAAAAACAACAAACGATTTGATCGGAAGGGTGGAAGTTTTTACAAAAATGGCTCGGTCCTTTCACTGTAGTGAATATCTCTGAAAAAGGAGTTGCAACTTTAAAAAAAGGTATTGTGGTTAACTCTTAAAAAAACATACAACATTGTTCAACTTAAAACTTATATTCAAGGAGCAGACAACAAATTAAAACCAATATTAGTTGAAGGATCTGCATATTTTTGGAATCATGCACCTGACAAAATTGTTGAGATGATTTTGATGTATGCCGTGCAACAATCGGAGAACTCATTCCCTGGACACAAGTGTGAGACTTATGCAAGTATCAAATCAACGTGTAGTAAGTGGGCTTGTTTAATTGAAAGAAAAGTTACTGCCTTACTTCCAAAGATATATATTGATTTGTGGAAGCCTCTTGAAAAGTCCTCCTATCATAATAATGAAAGTAATACTGTAAGTACACAAATATTAATAAAAACTTGTGGAAAGTCTAGTGGACTAGCTAGCCAACTATCAAATTGCATAGGTGATAAAAAGTGTCGATCTTCTTGGCTCTTGACACCTCAGAAACACTCTTGGTATGCCACAGATCGAATCTTCTGGAAAACAAAGGTATGTCAGCCAAATCAATCATCTTTGCAAGTTTCGTCTTTATGGCTCAAGAATGAACTGTATGAGCTTACAGAAGCAGATAGGGAAATTTTGGAAAGTAAAGATAGCTGATTGAACGACAATCTTATTGACGCAGGGCAAAAGTTAATTTGTAAGGCTCCTCTTAGCCATGAAACTTACCAATCAGTATTAAACTGCCAGAAAAAGAAGTTCACATATTTCCCAGTTTCTGGCGACCACCTTCAAATATGGCACGACGGTAGTTCTCATTGGCTATTAGCATTTGCTTCAAATGGCAGGGTTCAAGTGTGCGATAACCTGCGCACTAATCTAACATCGATTTCGAAAAAATGTTTAAAATCCCTCTTTCAACCACTTGTGAAGAATGGAAAGCTTGAAATAACATTTCTTCCCGTTGATAAGCAAATTGATAGTTTCAATTGTGGTGTCTTTGCTCTGGGTCCCCTCTTGATGTTTGATTTATTGTGAATGAAATGCGTACTCACTATATAAAATGTTTGACAGACGCTCACTTATATCCTTTTCCAACACTTAAAAAGGCCGTCGATGTTTTATGCAACAAACCTAAACTTTTCATGATTTGATTCAAAACTTAAAATTGACTTTTCACTTGTATGTGATTTTATAAATTTGTTTATAACCATTACAAAGCAAATCGGTAACCAATACTATTTTCGTAATATTTAAATATTTTTCTATGTAACGTCTATCATTCTATTAAAATTACTCTAGTATATTTCGTAAAGTTTTATTTTAAGTATTTATGAAAGAAAATATTGCGTTAAATACAAAATATGAAAAATACCTTAGCCGTCCATTATAAAATAATGGAAAAACTTATTTGATCTCATTCTATATTTTATGGACTTCTTTTAGACAATCGTCTTTTTTATAAGTTGGATGAAGGTTATTATAAGACCTTATTAGCGAATTAAAAAAACAATTTTTATCCATCTTGTGACATGCAGGGCCGACGACAAGGGAGGGAGGGAAGGTAGGGCCAGTGTGCAAGTGCTCCTTCTCGCTTACTTTTTATTTATTAAAGTTAACAATTTTTATAAAAATCGAGAATTTTTTTTTTAAATAAGGTAGTGTGCCTCCCCACACACACACACAAACACACACACACTGCAAAAACCGTGTCGTCGGCCCTGATGGACATTGAAAGTATGACGTTCAAATAAAAGTTGCAGCAGACAACACTGATATTTTACACTTTAGCAACATTTTTGAAAAAAAAAATGTATATATATGTATATATATATATATATATATATATATATATATATATAACATCTATATATATATATATATATATATATATATATATATATATATATATATATATATATATATATATATATATATATATATATATATATATATATATATATATATATATATATATATATATATATATATATATACTCTAACGATATATTCATAAAAGCACGTTTACATAGTTTTCCATGTTATTTAATTTAAAAATAGAAAAAAATCTTCAAATGAAGTCCTTTTCTTGTAAACCCCCTCACTCCCACTTTGTCTCTTTTTATCCTTCTTATCCTAACCCTCTTTTTTTAGCAATATGTTCTTTATGGCTGACCCCTTGAGCAATTCATTTATCTTTTTTGAAAGAAAAACAACGAATAAAAAAAAGTAAAACTTCATTCCATTAAACTTATTCATTTCTACTAATTTTATATTCTAAATATTTTATATTTCTACTAATTATCAAAAGTTTGGTTATTTCTCTATCATCAATTGAAAATAAAATCAATAAAAAAATAAAAGCAATAAAAAAATTTGATTTCATCAAACAAGATATTATTGGAGTCTTAATTTACTATTATTTTACTTTCATCAATAATTTATTTGTGTCCATAATTATACTTTTAATTCTCTTTCATTAAATCTATGTTTACTTTTTATTTCATAAAACTAATTAAACCATTGAACAGTAAATTGTTGACTGATAATATGGGATCTTGTAAGATTTCTTTTGTAAAAATGTTATCCTTCAAATAGACTTTTTATGTGGACTATTTTTACTTGACTACCTTAGCTAACAAAATAAAACTTCCATCTATATCATTATTTTTAATACCTTGGTGATAATTTAATGCATTTATAGTCTCTTCACAAAATACTTTTAACATGTATCAAACTTTTGTCTAACAATCAGTCTAGGGTTAGCAGCAACATAAGTCAGATTAGACATTTTAACCAGCTGACTAACTCAATTTCAGCAGACTTTTCAATTATCTAATTGTTTCGTATACACTATAATACATGCATAAAAACAAAAAGTAAAAAAATGCCATCAGTTGTAAACCATAGAGATAAGCAATCAAATCGTTTTAAAAAAATGCTTGATTTACTCTATTATAATCATTAATTAAAGCAATAACTTTTCCATTTGTCTTCTTAATTTGGTTGATTAGGATATTAATTTGATTGTATACAAAATCCAAATTATTTACTGGTAACATTCTTACTATAAATTTTGTTCCCTCATAAAAACATACAACAATGAAAGTAAATATAGTTGTAGCCAAACTTGATTCATTGTTTACTGCTTTACGGTTCACATCAAAAAAGCTTCAAAAGAAGGCGATCTGGTTAAAATATTTGCTTTACCAAACAAATGTCCCCGTGATAAGTTAGCATAGGTTTAACATAAACTTCATCTAGTAATAACATACAGTTTTTTTTA